TCTGAGTGCATTGGCCATGCTGGTACTAAGCAGTGGGAATGAAGACATATCAGAAATTGCCTGTGTCATAACAGGACTGGAGCAGCATGGAGTCCCAGATGGAAATTTACATCAAGGACTCTGGCTTCAGGAGACAAAGAAGAAATGTGAGGCTGAGTGCACCTTCACCCCAGCAGGGTCTCCCCTAGCTCGGAGCTGGGGTGAGGGGCGGGAGGGGGTGCCAGCCACAGACACAGACATCCCCAGAAGATCTGCTCACACTGCCAGTGGGACTCTTATCTAGCTTGGACATTATCTGAAATTAAAATCATACCTGACATATGAGGCCCTGGAAGACGGGCTCCATGCTTTCCCACCTGAGATTATCTCTGTTTCGTTCCTGTGTAATAAGAAGGGCAGACAGAGGATTCTCAATTCCCCCCTCCCTTGTCCCTTGCTTTTCTTTCTGGCAGGAAAATGGTCTTCTGCTAGGGCCATGGCTTTTGGAGAATATTCTGCTAAGAGTGACTCTCTTGGAGAGGAAGTGAAGCAGGGATGTTTGTTTGGAGAGACCCTGCCCGTGTCTGGCCCCACTGTAGGTCCCTAAGATGAGGCGCGATGCCTTACTCCTGGAGGCTCGGTTGGCACCATGCGCATTATTTACACCCTTGTGTTTTTGTTCAATCTTGCAAAAACCTCTATAATGACAGGGTTACTGGTCTCACTTTACAGTTGAGGATACTGCATCTCAAATGATACAGGGAGTTTTCAAACACATGCACACTTGGATCCTAACCCATGTCTTTTGATCTGTCCCAGTGCCCTTTTCTCTCAGATCAAATAGTGAATATTTAGGTCTCTATAGCAACTCATCACCTCTGTCTTTACAACATGAAAATAGCCACGGATGATGCACAAACAAATGAATGTATCCATGTTCCAATAATGTCCCACTGTGTTTACTTACAAAGCGGGCAGCCAGCCCAAGGGCAATAGTTTTGTGACCTCTGGAAAGCTCCCTGGACTCCCACCTCTGATACCTGGTGATAAGCCTGACAAAGAGGCAAGTAAACATTAGTGGCCTCTGCATTTCCATTCTGCCCAATAAATACCGTATGACCCAGGCCTGGCCCCAGGTCCTCAATCCCACAGCGTGGCATTTCTTGTGTCAGACATGGCCCACATCTATCATGGATCATTGTGCCATACCCTTTCCCTGGGTCATCTTCATCACAGTAGAACACAGTCCACAGGCTCTCTATTTAGCTTCATGGTATGGACCATTATCTAATTTTAGTACCCTTTCTATAATATAGATAGAAACTTTGAAGTCCATGAGTTTAATAGTGGATCCAATCTTCAAGCACAGTTTCAGTACAGACATACGTTCTTCTCCTGGGCAGTTTTCTTATCGACCCTCAGTAAAAACAAAGAGCAAAATATTAAGTCATAAGTCAGGGAAAGCATTTCTGCCATGGGCTGAGATAATGTGACTCAGGTATTTCGTTTCTAGTGGAGAGTAGAGATGAATGGACAGTTAGCATGTCTATTAGACTCTCTCTATCAAACATCAGATATCGTAAACGAGCCCCTGAGAAGCATGTTTCTCATTCGATTCACAATCAAATCCTCTAACAAGGACTTAGAGTGCAGATAATCTCTACTGTGGATTAAAGGGAAACCATAGACTTTGGCCACTATGTGATACAGAAAGGTAAATATGCCATTCTTGGAGAACACTTAAGAACTGATCATTCAGTGCCTTTCCAGAGAAAGAGCTAAACCATTTCAGTACAAATCATTGTTCGTTGTTCAATCACTAAGTCGTGTCTGACTCTATGTGACCCCATGGACTCCAGCACACCAGGCTTCCCTGTTCTTCACTATCGCCCAGAGCTTGCTCAAACTCATGTCTATTAAGTCGGTGATGCCATCCAACCATCTCATTCTCTGTCTACCCCTTCTCCTCCTGCCCTCAATCTTTCCCAACATCCAGGTCTTTTCCAATAAGTCAGCTCTTTGCATCTGGTGGCCGAAGTATTGGAACATCAGCTTCAGGATCAGTTCTTCCAGTGAATATTCAGGGTTGATTTCCTTTAGGATTGACCGGTTTGATCTCTTTGCTTTCCAAGGGACTCTGAAGAGTCTTCTCCAGCACCACAGTTCTAAAGTATCAATTCTTTAGTGTTCAGCCTTCTTTATGGTCCTACTCTCACATTTGTACATGACTACTGGAAAAACCCTAGCTTTGACTAGATGGACCCTTCAGTACAAATAAGAGAAGAATATCCCCCTCCTGCCATCTTAGGATGTCTTGACTTGGGGTTAGCACAGACCATCCTCAACAGAAATTAGTGGGTGTTAGAATAAAAAAAAGAATGAATATTTAAGAGCTGAATAGGAAGTCCAGTTAAGATGTAAAAGAAGCCTTGGGAAACTGACAAGAATTAATTTCACTTATTTTATTGTTTATGCCCAAAATGCAGAAGCATATCAACTTGCCAAAAGAGTCACTAAAGAAAAAAAAAAGGATTTGTTTGGTTAATGATATGAATATAGTTAAGGCTCTTAATTAGTAAAATCCAACTTGTACTCAAGAAATGTTGATGAAGGTATAGCATAACAGCAGTAAGAGATGTGAGAGTATCTTTGCCCACATTTCTCTGAGAGACAATCCTCAGAATCAGAAATCCAGCCATCCAGTCACTCATTCACAGATTCATGCATGGATGTTTTTATTCATTTATGCATGTAAAGATTCATCTATTCCTGGATTAATTTGCATAGTAGGCTCCCAAGATATATTTGAATGCATAAGTACACAAATTCATTTATTCATCCATGCACGACGTCATTTATTCATGCATCCATGCAACTTTGATACACTCCTTCATTTATGGGCTCTCAAAAGTATTCATTAATCTGTTCAACAAATTGCCATTTAAAATTTACCGTACCAAAAAATCACTGAATTAATCTATGCTTGGAATAAAGATGATTCCCTTTTTTCATGGAATGCACACTTAAGAGGGGAGGGAAAAACATGTGCATAAAAAGGTTTAAAAATGAGTTGCAAGTTAAGTACTGTGGAAGTTAAAACTGGGGAGTTTACTTCCATGTGGGGAGATGTTATGGGTACGAGCATGTTATTATTTAGAAGAAGCTAACCTTGAAGCTGAAGTATAGCAAGAATTTGGACAGGGGCAGCAAGACCAAGGGAACCATACGAGAACCGGCAGTGGGCTGAGAAAACACACAGTCTGGAGAAGAATGTTCTGAGGGGCAAGGGGAGGCTCTGCACGGCTGGAGTCCAGGGGCTCGAGAGACCTCGGATCCTAACAGAGACCGGAAGGCAAGAGAGGGTCAGCTCATCAGGGACCTTAGTTGCCAGGCTAAGGATCCGGGACTTGATCCTGTAGGTGGTAGCGAGCTGCTGAAGGGTTTTAGAGAGAAATTACACCATCAGAAACGGGCTTAAGGAGATTTCCGTTGGCTGTCCCTGCGTTGGGAAGATCCCCTGGAGAAGGAAATGGCAACCCACTCATGTACTCTTGCCTGGAAAATCCCATGGATGGAGGAGCCTGGTGGGCTACAGTCCATGGGGTCGCAAGAGTCAGACACGACTGAGCGACTTCACTTTCACTTTGACTGTCATGCACAGAGAGGTGGGGAGACGAGCTACAGGGGAAGATACCCAGACCAGACCTGGAACTATGAAGAGAAGACTTGTCGGAGAGAGAGAAAGAGAGATTTAAAAGATATGCTTTAATAAGACTTGGAAAACGGATCATAGAGAGAGGGGAAGAATAGGTAGATGTCTCGGGGGTTTCCAGTCAGCAGTCCAGGAGATGGCAATGTTTTTTAAGCATGATGAAGGGTCAGAGGCAAAGGAGCTAGACTGAGAAGGAAGATGAGGGGATAGAGCTTGTCCTGGGTCTGCTGTGATTCTTGAGATGCTGGCAAATGCCCTTGGAAGCAGAAGCAAATAACTTTAGACTCTGCATGAGCCAGCGCACTGGAGAACACCCCCTCCTCCCCACCAGCTCCGTCAGCCTACAGTCCTCTCCCCACTAACTCTGAGAAATGCGAGCTCCGGGAAACCATCAAGAAAGGCTACCGGTGACCAGAGGGAGAAGCGGGGGGCTGGGAGCAGGGAGGGGAGAACGACCCACAAAGTGACCTACAACGCACGCCTGTTTCTGCTGCGTTTCTCAACCTTGGCCTGAGCTAATGAACCTCAGAGAGCAAAGCTGTCTTTCGTTTGTTTGTCATTTTGAGGTTTTCTGGTTGATTAAGATCTATGCCAGCAGGAGGGGATAAAATCACCAGCAGTTCTTAGTTTGAGGCTCATAAGGTATTGTCATCCCCTCCTGACGGAATGCTAAACTTAATACAAAAACGCTGTCCCATCCACTTTAGACCAGAGAAATTGTTAAAAGGACTTTTTCTTTCTCCTTTTTCCATTTGAATAGTTATTATTATTATTTTTGGCCTCCTCTTATCATTTTCTGCTTTGTTTCACACCCCCTGTAAATCAGATTTCTTTTAAAAGAGCAAAAATTGAATTCCTAGTTACTGACAAAAACTACAAATGAATCTCACTTTGAATGAGGCCAAGGGAAGGAGAAAAAAAAAAAACTCCTAGTGGGTAACACTTTGAGGTTTACTTTTGCTCATCAAACCCTGCTCTTTCTTTATCCAGGGAGCATTTTGTCACCCACATCGGCGCCTAACCCCCATCCTTGAAACCCCCACCTCTTGCTGGAACTCTGAGAGCTTCAGTCTTCTGGGGGGATGTAATTATCTGAACTGGCGTGGATCCAGAATCCAGCTTCCGGATGAAAAGGATTTCTTATGAAAGATTAAGTGGTAACACGCATGTCAACAGAGCTCCCAGCGCTGGAGCGATTCGGGGCAAACAAGGAAATGGCCGCAGTTCTCCTTTCCACTCTGGAAACTCTCCCTGGGCCTCCTTCCACCCCAGGCGGCACAGGGCTTTTGCATTTGCTCAGGTGTCTCACCTTGCGAGCCAGTAGACAGGTGACGGGCTAACAGGTCTACCCCCGGTGAGCGTTAAGGGGATGGGAGCCAGGGGCGCAGCTGCAAGCGGGCAGCCCCGCGGGGCTGGCCGCGCGAGGCGCGCCGCCCGGGCCACCGGGTCGGCTTGGGCCGGGCCTCCCTCCGGACTCCCGGAGCCCTGGGTCCCGGCTGGCATGACAACACTGCCCTCTGCTGGAGAAGCGCAGGCATCGCGCCCCACCCGGAACCAATGGCCACGCACAGTGGCTGGGAATACGGTGGGGACGCGAAGGGCTTAGCTCACCCGGCTCTAGAGTCAGCTCTTATGTGGCTGGAGCGTCAAGCGTCCCCGTCTCTGATGTCAGCCTTGACCCAGGTAGGTAGAATCAGACAGCTCTGCCAAGCCTTTGCTCTGTGTTCCTGGGTGGGCCTCACCTTCCTCAGATTCAGAACAAAGAGAAAGTCGCGTACATTATGGGGCTATGTGGGATATGGAATGAATAGTATCTCTTCCACAGGGTGACCATGCATCCCAGTTTGCCCCAAATATCATTGTTAATAGCACCCTTTTTCCTTCTTTGGAAGATAAGCAATATGGTCAGCCTATCCAAAACGCAGGGCACTCTGTACCCTAGGAATCCTAGTTTTCCTCTCTTTATTAGGCTGCCGGTCTTCTGTGGGAGTTTATGTCCATTTGGAAAGGGGCCTGTGACATGGTTTCCTTTTCCTTTCTTTCTGTGAGAAAACCAAGACACTAGCTTCCCTGCATTCAACTAAGAAAGTGGTTCTGCCGTGTTAGGAAGAATCAGTGGTGGAGGGGCCAGGAGACATAGAAGGATCATCCAGATCCATCCAACTTCCGAGAAGATTCTGAGAAAGCCTCTCCACTCCTCCGTCCCTGCCCCTTGAAAAGAGGGGCCTTCTTTGCAGGATACACCAATCGGTATGAAAATGTAGTACTAGACATTATCTCGGTTTCAATGGATACCAACTATCCACAGTTTGAAAAATATCTAAAAGAAAAAGAAATGCCAAACTGTAGCATATATAGGCATATAGCTATCTAACATACATTTATTTCTTCCATGCCTGAGAAATGTGGGGAATTATTGAAATGTCTACCACTCTGATAGCTCAGTTCAGCAACAATGGTCAAATTTTGTTGCATCAACATCCCTGATGGGAAGTTGGCACCAATGCCAGGGTAGCAGCTGATCTGCATGTCTATTTACATAAATTTGCATTGGTGTGCTGTTAAAAAATAAATGCTGATATTAAGGAAAGTGGCTTTCCCCCAGACTAAGGCATCTCAACAGCAGAGCCGTGAAGAGCCCAGGCTCTGGGATCTAGCTGTTACGGTCTATTCGTGTGACCTTGAATGTGTTGTGACCTTGAATGTGTTGTGACCTTGAATGTGTTGTGACCTTGCGGTACTGTGTTTTCTTATCTGGGAATGGGAATAATAAGAACACCACCTACTACAAAATGCTGGTGCAGAGATTAAGTGAGTTAATGTGTATGAAGGACTTAGAGCATTGCCTGGCCTATTAAGCGCCCAGATATTAGCTGCTATTATTATCCCAGAGCTAGTCTCGTCTCCCACCGCCAACCTTTGTAACAAGCTCTCTGCTTTCTGTAAATCATAAAAGTTGGAAATCTGGAGCTGGGAGGGACCTCAGAACATCTAATCAGTCACTTTCAAACTTTTATTTTCTTCCTTTTAAAATAGCCGTGGAGCACTTTTTGAAAATGAAAGCGTATGTGGAAACCCAGCATGGGGGGCCATGTAGCATTGTGGTTAAGAAAATGGGCTTTGCAGACAGACAGGTCTGATTTCCAGTTCTGGCAAAACTGCCTATTAGCCTTGTGACTCAGGGCAAATGATTTACCTTGACTTTAAGCCTCAGTTTCATAAAATGTAAACTAGCTCTAGCAACAGTAATTGTAAATATTTCATAAGGTTATTATGAACCTAAATAACTTCATACCTATTGAGTGTTTACGCAATGCCTGGCACATCATAAGGAGCCAATAATTATGTTAACTCTTAAGATTTTAATGTTTGAAATAAATGCAAGCCTAGACACTCTGGTTGAAGCCTGGCAGAGAACCAGAACCACAAGGGGGGTGCTCCAAGAAAACCCCTGTGACTCTGCAGGACACAATTTAAAAGCCCCTGGGACTTCCCTGGTGGTCCAGTGGCTAAGACTCCGTGCTTCTAATGCAGGAGTGCAGGTTCCACCCTGGCTGGGGGACAAAGATCCCACATACTGTGTGGTACAGCAAAAAAAAATAACTTTTTTTTAAATTTAAAAATAAATAAATAAAAACTCCTCTTTAAGCCAACATCTGGAAAGCAAGTTCCAGAACCCCCAGCCCCTGGTCACAGCTAGCATTAAGTAGCTTTTCTCTCCCCTTGCTAGGGTTCCAGTTCTGCCACCGTCACTTCCTGGCTGTACAATCGTCTTTCTTCCCCCTGGCCCTTAAATCCACAGCCCTGAGACAGCCTCCTTGGTTTAAACACGTTTTCTCAGGCCCTATTGGGCTGAGCAAAAGTGTGTGGCATCCCCTGCAGTTGGCTCCCAAGGGGGCGAAAAGTGTCCTGAACTTGCACTAACATCTCTTGCTTCCTCCTGAGCCTTCGACAGCTCAGCGCCGGAGGGGGAATGAGTCATTCTGTTAAAAATAAAAACACGACCGTCTCCCCTCTAACGGTTTTGTTCATGATCACTGCCGGCTGGCGCTGCCATGCATTCCGAGCAGCCAGGCACGGCCAGTGGGCAGCCCGGAACCCAGTCTGCCTGAAACCACTGCTGTGGCTTGGCGGAATCTCAGGGGTCCAGCCAGCCCCACCTTGACCAGGCTGTGGGTGATGTGGGTGCCTGGATGACATTAGCATGAGCTGGGAGGGATGGCGCCGTTCCAGAACATTTAGTTAGGGGACAGAGGGTAAGACTCATAGCCCACAAAGAGCTGGTCCAATCTCTGCATTTTGCTGAGACCCATAAACTGAGAGTAACTTATCTAAGATGACTTAGCTGAGAGTAGGAGAAGAAAGGCAAGGATGCAAGGCTCCTGTCTGTAGTAATTATAACCACGACTGCTACCCGTTCTCTTACTTCTGTCTGCTGTTCTCAGCACCAGGCTAAATGGTTTACGTCACCTGCTGCCTTCAGTCCTCAAAACAGTCCTGTGGGGGAAGTACTATCATGATTTCCATTGTACTGGTGAGAAAACAGGAGGTTCGAGAGGCCAAGTTCCTTGCCTCAGCTGTACCAGCGAGCATGTGGTGAAGGTGTGTGTGAAGTTAATTTGAGTTCAGAGCCTGGATTCCAAGCACTGAATCATCAGAGTTTGTGTCGGGGGAAGCATGTTTCTTTGCCTGTGTGCATGATGGAAGATCAGGGACCGTGCCTTGTTCCTTGCTGAATCACCAGTGTTCGTCGAGGTGTGTGCATAAAACCAGGCGTCCTGTCAATATCCGTTGATTTCCTGTGTGAAGAGCATGATCATTTGTTCCTTTGGGGCCTAGGATTTTCCCCCTCTAACTGAGAGTACTAGTGACTGCTGTGCAACTTTGGTCAGAACAAGTTCCTCTGGCCATTTTGGGTAAAATCTCTCTTCTCTTCCCCATCAGACTCCTAACTTATATTCAGGCTGATGAGAACCAATACATTTGAGGGCTGAATGGGAAGTTAATGAAGCCATTACGATAGTCTCAGTTCTGCTGTGTGACTTTGGAGAAGAGCTTCTCTGAACCTCGACTTACTTGGCTGGAAGGAAGCCAGGTGGTTTCCAAGGATCTCATGCAACAAGAGCATCATCAAGGCAGAGTGCGGAGTGACATTTCTGAGTTGAGCACAATGGGCATTTTGAGCTGGATTCTGCTCTGTCATGGGGACCTATCCTGTGCATCCAGGAAGCTTAGCAGCATCCTTGGTCTCCACTCATTAGATGCCAGTAGCTCTTCCCCAGTTGTGAAAAATAAAAATGTCTCCTATTGCATGCATGTTCACTCATCTCCAACTCTCTGTGACCCTATGGACTGTAGCCCGTCAGGCTCCTCTGTCCATGGGATTCTCCAGACAAGAATTTTGGAGTGGGTTGCCATTTCTTACCCCAGGGGATCTTCCTAACCCAGGGATTGAACCCATGTCTCCTGAGTCTCCTGCACTGGCAGGGAGATTCTTCACCACTGTTCCACCTGGGAAGCCCTTGTCAAATGTCTCCGGGAGAGGGAAGGAGCCAAACCTCTGGTGGGAATAACCCAGGCCCTGCCCTGGCCTTCGCACCATCTATCTCAATGTCCTCTGGTGAGCCTCTGGTCCCCTCTGGACCCTACCCCTTGTCAGGATGGTATTGTCTGTTCATCGAGGATGATTGAGCCACGAGTGTGCTCCAACTGTGACCCCCTCCTACCTGCGCTGTGGGCGCAGGTAACTATCAGCGGAGAGAATTTGATGCTAAGTTCTTTGGGGCAGGTATGTGACTGTCAGAGTCCACTGAGAAGAGAGAGTACTCTGTTAGATGTATTTATCAAACCTCAGAATCATGTTTGTAACTCAAGGAAAATCATGTTATCCCCATTTCACAGCTTCCTTCAGCCTCTGCTGCCCACAATCCAAGATCCTATCATACTCAGGTGTTTCATGACCTGACCCCAAACTCCCCAGTTCTCCCCCTACTCTCATGCCATTTTTTTTTCTTTTACTTTGCAAAGCTGCTGCCTCTGACAGAATTCCCTTCCCTCTATCATGAATGATAAACTCTAGATTCATTAATCCAAATCTGAGCTTAGAACACCTCCTCCAGGAAGTCTTCCAAAACTCCCTGTGTATATATTTGTAACCTCTAGGTTTTTCCCATATGGCAGAGTGGCTGCCACACGTGAGATTCGGATACCCAGCATCACTTCTGTAAGCTTCAGTGCTTTCACATATGTAATTGGCTCTGTTTCTCTGCAGGACACTGACCCATATAACATATTCATCACCGTCATCACCACCACCACCATCCTCATCACTGCTGTTGACACGGCATTCGGTCAAACATGTATGCCAGAAGCTGCTCTGGGCTCTAGGTTTCTGAGAGCCAGACACTCTTTCTCAGTGAGAATCAGAGATTTTGGTTGCTCCTCTTTATGCTCTATGACCACAGCCTTCTCTTAGGAAGTGGACATAATGTGCCACCTCCCTTTGAGGGATCTGCTGTGTGTCTCCAGTGAGATAAGAGGTTTAGGAGCCATTTGTAATATCAGAAGTCACCCCACGCTTGTAAGGGGCTATTATTGGGGAATCAGGGAGCATGTCATCCAGTTCTGTAGATGTTAAGCGTTCTAGAAGCAGGATTTTGTCTTTGTTCACTTCTATATGCTCTGGGTCCTGAGCAGGGTCTTGTTGAGTTAAAAAATGAAAGGCCTTATTTTTCTGGTCACTGGCTCAGAAATGCATGATAATTTCTACCCATGTTCATACTGAATACACAGATAAACATCCCAACACCCAAGGAAATCCAAACCTATCCAAACATGAAGAGAGATTTTTCTCTGAAACCTGGAGCAATCGTTTTCAGATTTCCTTTAAGGAACGGGTCATCCTGTCTCTTCCTCTACTTCTTTTGCTAACTTTTCTTGAAAGCCTTGCCTCTGGAGAATACAATTTGAAAAGAATTGATCTTCAATATTTTGAATAAAATTTAATGGTGGAAGAACACTCTGCAGGAAGCCTGAAGGTTTCAGCCGAGCCTTTTTTCTACTCAGCATACTAAGAGACATCTTACTGACACTTCCCTTCCCCATGCTTCAGTTTCCCTTTTCACCAGAACTTCCCTTTTCCATGCCTTCTTGGACTGCAAGGGGATCAATCAATCCTAAAGAAATCAACTTTGGATATTCATTATGAGGAATGACACTGAAGCTGAAGCTCTAATACTTTGGCCACCTGATGCAAAGAGCTGACTCACTGGAAAAGACCCTGATGCTGGGGAAAGTTGAGGGCGGGAGGAGAAGGGGGCAACAGAGGATGAGATGGCTGGATAGCATCACTGACTCAATGAATATGAATTTGAGCAAACTCCAGGAGACAGTGAAGGATAAGGAAGCCTGGCATGCCGCAGTCCATGGGATCACAAAGAGTCGGACATCGGACATGACTTGGCAACTCAGCAACAACAAAAGTGGGTGAGATGGACTCTCTTTGAGTGGTCCAATCAGACATACTGGTCTAAAGCAAATGAAGGAAGCATTCAATTAGTCAACCTAGATTCTTCCTCCTTTAGCAATATCCCTTTTATGTTAAATTTTGCTTCATCTCTTGAAGAGAGCAAGGACCCAAAGAGAACCCAGTGGAATCTATCCAGATGATGGAGCTTCAGCAGCAACACCTGAGCACCTTTATGGGGTTACTGTGGCAACCTGAGCTCTCGAATGGTTAGATTAGGTGTCTGCATGACCTAATCAGCCATGAAATGGGAGAAAACAAAAGACTGATAGTTGCAACGGCAGCTGGGACCGTATGTTTGGCTCCAGCGGGATGGAGGCGCAGTGCCGGGGGCTGTGCTCCAGGTAGTTAAAAGAAATATCAGCATCTACTTGCCAATCTAATTACCAGAATATCATTCACACATTATCCGGCCAGAACCTGCTCTCTGGTCCTCACAGGGCCCTAACAGTCTTTATTATCCTCTTCTCATTACCCCCTAATAGCAGATGAACATCTTGTAACTTTTCTTGGCATAAGCTTGGCTATGATGGGACTTGCTTTCTCAGGATGCTCTCTTTAGCCCTAGAAATGCACACATCTCTTTGTCTGATATTCTGAATCAAGTTTTCCACCTCCCTTTTCCTGCAACCTGCCTGATGTCAGGGAGCTAGAAAATCTAACTTCAAATCTTGCTTCTGACCTTTCTTTCTGGAAAGAAAGTAATCTTTGACAACTTCTCTGAGTCTTGGTTTTCATGCCCATTATGCATTCTCCATCAAGTTCCTAGGTTTATGGGATAATCAAACTATCCCATGCATTATAAAATGCATTACAAAGTGTGATAATATCACACAGATGTTCATGTTGGTATAGTCTAAATGGCTGTTTACATTTTACAAAACCTTTAGGATTCCACAATCACTTCCAAAATTGGGTGTAAAGGAAGTCTAGTTCCATGAAATGATAATAAATGTGCTCTGAGAAAACATTTTTTAAAGCATTCACAGAATAAATAAAATTGAATTTTAATTATGCAAATTTCTTGTGAAGACCTTCTAAGTGACTTTATGCTAGAAATGTTATCTGCCACACAGAAGCTCTAGTTTTCCCTCAGGAATCACTTATTATATCCTGGAACTAGTTCAGCAGAAAATAAAATTTGAGAATTATTGATGTATACTATCTTCTATTTTTAAAAAGTACATTATAACAACTTCTTTAAAACTAAAAATAAATAATGCAGGTAAATCTAGGATAGGAAGACAAAGAAATTAAGCCACTTCCTTTTATTCTAGGCTCTGTAATTGTTTTACTTTGTATGTTTCTTTTCATTCCTCTCTCTGTCTCTCTGCAACCCCTGTCTGCCACTCAACTTCTTTTTAAAATCACTTGGTAACTTGTCATAAATATAAATTTTCATGCCCCTCGCCAGAAACTCTTGAGTGGAACTCAGCAAAAAGTGATTCTGATGGACACTGAAGTGTTTGCTTTAAATCACTGATTTAGTTACTTAATAATAGTGCCCACTTTCAAATCCAAATGTCCCAATTTGGACTACAAATTATATAGTCACCTTAAACATAGCTATTTGAGCCATTCTGTTAGCTAAAATATTTTGACAAATAATTTCATCCCTTTTGGTAGACAGCACACACGCATGTGCACATACACACACACACACACACACACACACCCCAGACAGTTCAGCCTCCTCCTTTGGGGACAAATAGACATTCCAATTACTAAAGAATTAGTGCTGGGCACAGAAGTTTCTTGTTCTGACATCCTGGACCGAGTCTTTTTGAAGGATCAGTGCCCTTACTATGACAATTAAATGATAATTGTGTCAAGTGCTTAGCATGGCATCTGCTACATAGGAAGAATTCAATAAATAGCAGCTATTTATACTTATTTTCTACTCTTTCTGACATCTTCTGTATGTCAGAAACTGTGAGTAGGTTCTGGGCATTAAAAAAATGAAGCAGACAGAAATGACCCTCCCCCTGACCCCAGACCTTGTGATCTAGCTGGAACTTACGAAGTACTGGCTGCAGACAGATTGGATCCGAGGTGACAGGGCTGTATCTGGACAAGCAGGACCGATGGCTGCACATCGCAGGAGTCGAGACTCCCGGCCTTGGCAGTGGTGAGTGGGAGCAGGGGCCGGGGTGGGGAAGTGGGTGTTCTCCAGGAAAAGCAAGGGCATGTGGAGAAGTCCAGGAAATGAGGAAAAAGCACGGCCACTCGTAGACAAACAGCTCAGATGGGCTGAAGTTCCTCGTCGTGCTCGGCAAAAAATGGGGAATAATGATAAGAGATGGATCCGAAGAGGTTGGAGGAGGAAGTGGCAGTCCACTCCAGAGTTCTTGCCTGAAAAATCTCATGGACAGAGGGGCCTGGAGGGCCACAGGCCATAGGGTCGCAAAGAGTCGGATGGGACTGAGAAAGTCCGCTTCCCGAAGAGGCTGGCAGGGACCTCATCATCAAGAGACGTTGGAGCCATGTTGGAAAGTTTGAAAATTGTTTTGGGGGCAGTGGGGAACCATGGAAGGGTGCTCGGCGGAGAGGGGGGAGCGTGGTTAGTATTTTACGACCCTCACCCTGGCTGCTGTGTGCACATGACCCAATGAGAGATGACGAGAGCCATGAAATCGTGCAGTTGTAACTGGTGCTGTCCTGGACGAGGAAAATGGAGTGGGTGTGGAGCATTATATCTACAACCACATTTATTGAATTTTGCTTCCAAGATATAAAATAAAATATTCATTGTTTTCTCTCTTACCGTTAAGTTTTGTTTTAGAAAATAAAATGATGCAGTGATACCTGGGCATTTGCATCCCTAAATGAGCTCTTGTTTCAATTATTCTCACTACATTTACTGTCCAGAACTTAAGCCTCAATGTAGACCTCTGACAAATGGAAAATGTATTAGTCTATTTAAATATCTAGCATATTAGGTATATATTGCTGCTAACAAAATTATTGAAATGCTGTGATTTATAATAAATACATATTTGGTCATTTGAATGTCCAAATATATATTTCTCATATATATTTGATCTCAGCCTACAGTTCCTGACTCGCTGCTCCCAAAACCCTTGGAATTTCCCAAGTGATAAGAGCAGTGGGAGCATCTTTTGTTATAACCATTGGTCTCTCATCGTCAGTTTCTGAAAACACTTTGGAGCCATAAAGGTGAAATGGATGTCTTATTATTCATAACAAGCTCTTTTCCACCACAACTGGGTTTATATTAATGAAAGTAAAGATGAGGGCTTGTTGCCAGGGAAACCAACTAGGAATGGAGGATAATCAGTTTGACCTCCTGATTTCCAGGGAGGGGAGAGAGGCCTGAGCTTGAATCAATCACCAATGACCAATTATTTAATCAATCATGTCTGTTAATAAAGCCTCCATAAAAACCCAAAAGGATGCTGTCTGGAGAGCCTCTGGGTCAGTGAACACCTGGAGATTTAGAGAGAGTTGTGTGCCTGGATAGGGCATGGCAGTTCCACACCCTGTCATCATACCTGGCTCCATACATCTTTTCTATCTGGATGTTCCTGCATTGATGTTCAGACCCTAAGTCATGTCCAACTCTTTACAACCCCATGCAGAACGCCAGGCTTCCCTGTCCTTCGCTATCTCCTGAAGTTTGCTCAAACTTATGTCCATTGAGTCAGTGACACTATCCAACCATCTCATTCTCTGCTGCTCACTTCTCTTCCTGCCTTCAATCTTTCCCAGCATCTGGGTCTTTTCCACTGAGTTGGCTCTTCGCATCAGATGCCAAAGTTTTGGAGCTTCAGCTTCAGCATCAGTCCTTCCAATGAATATTCAGGGTTGATTTCGTTCTTTTTGTTTTTGGTCAGTAATTCTTATTGTATTTCTTTTCTTTTTTTTTTCATTTATTTTTATTAGTTGGAGGCTAATTACTTACAATATTGTAGTGGTTTTTGTCATACATTCACATGAATCAGCTGTGGATTTACACGTATTCCCCATCCCGATACCCCCTCCCACCTCCCTCTCCACCCAATTCCTCTGGGTCTTCCCAGTGCACCAGGCCCAAGCACTTGTCTCATGCATCCAGCCTGGGCTGGTGATCTGTTTCACCCTAGATAATATACATGTTTCGATGCTGTTCTCTCAAAACATCCCACCCTCGCCTTCTCCCACAGAGTCCAAAATTCTGTTCTGGAAGCTGTGGTACATATACACCATGGAATATTACTCAGCCATTAAAAAGAATTCATTTGAATCAGTTCTGATGAGATGAATGAAACTGGAGCCCATCATACAGAGTGAAGTAAGCCAGAAAGATAAAGACCAATACAGTATACTAACGCGTATATATGGAATTTAGAAAGATGGTAATGATAACCCTATATGCAAAACAGAAAAAGAGACACAGGTGTACAGAACAGGGTTGATTTCTTTTAGAACTGACTGGTTTAATCTCCTGGCTGTCCAAGGGACTCTCAAGCACCACAGTTCAAGAGCTATCATTTCTTCAGCACTCAGCCTTCTTTAGGTCCAACTCTCACATCCATACACGACTACCTGAAAAAGCCATAGCTTTGACTAGATGGACCTTTGTTGGCAAAGTGATGTCTCTGCTTTTTGTTATACTGCCTAGGTTTGTCATAGCTTTTCTTCCGAGGAGCAAATATCTTTTAATTTCATGGTTGCGGTCATCATCTGCAACAAGTTTGGAGTCCAAGAAAATATAGTCTGTCACTGTTTCCATTGTTTCCCCATCTATTTGCCACATACAAGTTTTTGAGTTCCTGTGAGCGAATCAAGTGAATTGTTGTTGTTCACTCACTAAGTCATGTTCAACTCTTTGTGATCCCATGGACAGCAGCTCACAGTCCCTCAACATCTCCCAGAGTTAGTGAATTAATCCAACCCAAGTTCAGGATCGTCAGCACCTCTGATCTATGGTCAGTCGCTCAGAAGCACAGGTGACTATCTGGATTTGCAATTGGCATCTAAAGTGAAGAGCAGTCTTATGTATCTGAGCCATTAACCTGTGGAATCCGATACTATCTCCAAGAAGATCCGTCAGAACTGAGCTGAACTGTAGGACACCTGGCTGGTTTCAGGAGCTGCTTGTTGGTGTAGGCAACCCACCTACCTACCCCACCCTCAAACACACACATTGAGATCTGTGGCCAGAATCTTAGCTATTTTCTTCTCACTTGATCTGCAGTATAGATCTGTGAGTTAGGTCAGGTAAAATCAGAAATTGAGACCCATGAGAGAGTTGGCCAGGTGCTTGGTCTTTTGTCACCAAACCCCATCGTCTTCCACATCATCACTCTGCCTCCCACTAAGGCTTCTGTGTGTTAGGAGGACTTTGGGAGAGCCAAGATTTGAAAGATGGGAACTTGTGTGAAGGTTTGAAATGAGTTGCTGTGTTCTACCGACACATGTCCTACCTAGACTCAGGATAAGAGATGACAGAAAGGAAAGGCATGATGGAGGGAGAGAGGGAGAGAGAGAATGACTGTGTCATCTTCTAATCCTTCAAAAGCAGCAAAGGTGGTGAGAACACTGGAGTGGGTTGCCATTTCCTTCTCCAACGCATGAAAGTGAAAAGTGGAAGCAAAGTCGCTCAGTTGTGTCCGACTCTTAGCGACCCCATGGACCGCAGCCACCAGGCTCCTCCATCCATGGGATTTTCCAGGCAGGAGTATTGGAGTGGGGTGCTGTAGCCTTCTCCATCTTCTGAAGCTAGACCGGGGCAAAGAGAACCATGAGTACATTAGGGAGAGTGCCAGGTTGAGTCCCAGGTAAGCCACTTGCTAGCTGGGCAACTTTCCCCCAGTCTCAGCTTCCCCAGCTGTAAATGAGGATGCTAATAATACCTATTTCCCAGGGTTATAGTGAGGATTTTTTTTTTTGAAGTATAGTTGATTTATACTATTTCATTAGTTTTAGGTACAGAGCAAAGTGATTTAGTTATACATTTTTTAGAATATTTTCCATTATGGGTTATTACAAGATATTGAATTTGGTTCCCTTGCTATACAGTAGGACCATGTTGTTTATTTTATATATAATAGTTTATATCTTCTAATCCCATACTTTATAATTTACCCTGCCCTGCTCCCTTTCCCTTTTGGTAACAATTCTTAGTCTATGTCTGTTTTGTATATAGATTTATTTGTATTATTTTTTAGATTCCACATATAAGTGATATGATGTAATATCTGTCTTTATCTGACTTACTTCACTTAGTATGATAATCTCTAGGTTCATCCTTATTGCTGCAAATGGCAATATTTTTCTTTTTCTGGCCTAGCAATATTCCATTATAGGCCCAGGCGGCACAGTGGCAAAGAATCTGCCTGCCAGTACAGGAGATGCAAGAGATGCTAGTTAGATCCCTGGATTGGGAAGATCCCCTGGAATAGGAAATGGCAACCTGCTCCAGTATTCTAACCTGGAAAATTCCATGGACAGAGGAGCCTGGCAGACTATAGTCCATGGAGTCATAAAGAGTCAGCAACAGCACAGTGCACAATATTCTATTATATATGTATATATATATGACATGTCTTTTTTATCCATTCATCTGTCAATGGACATTTAGCCTGCTTCTATGTCTTGGCTATTGTGAATAGTCCTATGAACACTGGTGTGCATGTGTTTTTTTGAATTAGAAGTTTCATCTTTTCTGGATGTATACCCAAGAGTGGGAGAGCTGGATCATATGGTAATTCTATTTTTAGTTTTTTAAGGAACCTCCATACTGTTTTCCATAGTGGCTGCACCAAATTACATTCCCTATAATGAGGATTATGTGTGTTAATTGCTCAGTCATGTCCAATTCTTTGCAACCCCATGGACTGTAGCCTGCCAGGCTCTTCTGTCCATGGGATTTTCCAGGCAAGAAAGCTGGAGTGGGTTGCCATTTCCTTCTCCAGGGGATCTTCCTGACCCAGGGGTCAAACCCAGATCTCCTGTATTGCAGGTAAATTCTTTCCTGTCTGAGGCACCAGGAAGCCCACAGTGAGGATTATTGAGAGGACTGAACGTAATAAAGCCTGACAGGCTCTCACCCCAAAGAGCTGCATAGTCCCTGACACACGCCAGGCCTTAGCTC